CTACATTAGGCATTGATATTGAATGTCACTCGGAAACTACAGTGAATGATTGTTTGAGAATCGATTTTTTTTAATCTGTTCAGAAAATTATGAAATTAGGAGAGATAAAGGCAAAATTGTATTTTATGTCTGTCTGTCTGGGACAGTCTTCCACTATACAGAAGATCATAGAAAAAAATAGGTTTACCATTTGGTGGTATTGCATAGAGGCAAACAAAAATAGGTCTCTCGTCCTTGTAGCGGTTGTGTGCAATAATTAAACTGTAATGAGACTGTTGCGCCCACAAAACACACAAAAAAGCTAGAAGGATGCTCATAGCCAGTTTGTACGGGAACCGATGTCGTCGGCTCACCCCCACTGAGGAGTTCAATGGCGCAAGTGGTTAGCGCGTTCGGCTGCGATCGTTGAAGCTAAGCAACTTTCACAGTGGTCGGTCATTGGATGGGTGACCAAAAATCTTCTATCTCGAGTTCCTCCGTGCTTCGGAAGGCACGTTAAGCCGTTGGTCCCGGTTGCATCTGCAGTCGTTAGCACCCGCCAATCCGCGCTGGGCCCGCGTGGTGGGTCATGGCCCAATCTCCCTATTCCATCCATAGGGAAGGCCTGTGCCCCAGCAGTGGGGACATTAATAGGCTAATGATGATGATGATGATATGAGCATTTACTCACACATAACTGTGACGCGCCTTCTAACCTCTTCTAACCTCTTTCTGTGTTCTGTACGCACACCCATCACCATTTAAACAATTTTAATTTTATGTTAAACCGTCTATGGTATTGTGTTTCTGTAAGTGAGGACGCTTGCTTCAGTTGATGCTTAGTATTCCAGCAGTGCGGATGTCGATCCGCCCGGATTTATATCAGAACAGCGCAGATCCACATTGGACCCTTGCGTTTAATTTTTTAAAGAATAGCACTGCAGGTCCCGACGGAGTAGGAAATTGGGTTCAGGCCGGCTAAGGGAGAATGTCTTAAAGGGGTCTTGGAGAGTTTCACTTTTCTGTTGGATTAACTATATTCGCAAATGCAATTCCTCTGAGCACTGAGCAATGTAATATGTAATTCTATAAAAATATACTTATATATTTATAGTATATGTATTCTATCCGTTACCCTAGTATCCCATAACACAAGCCTTACAGTGCTTAATTTGGGGCTAGGCTAATTGGTGTGAGTGTTGGAAATATTTATTATTATTTATTATATCGACAAGTGATTGGCTGTTCCTACCACAGTCCATTTCTCAGATAACCGAAAGATCATTTCTGCATCCTGCACAGTGGGTTTTCCAGACTGGTCAATTGGTCACACATAACATGACGCAGAGTTCAAGGATCGATCTTATTAACTTTATGATATAATTTTCTGTTTGAAATAAGTTATCACATTGGTAGCTACGACACCTCGATCATTCTATATTGTCTTTTTATGATAAAGTAAACTTCTACCCCTTATTAATAAACTCAGACTGTGTAATCCGGTATTCTATGCAATACCCAAGCAATATGTAGAATGCCTAAAATGTTAATTCAAATATGATTGACCATTTTACACTTTGCCTAGGTAATAATACAATTCTTATGGATTGTTTAGAATACCGACAATGTGTAAAATAAACAGATTTTAGTCTGGATTAATCCTAACCAAACCTAACTTAGCCTAAGCAGTTAGATATAACATTACGGAATGTTTAAATCTAAAGAAAAGTTTACTAGAAAAAAATCCACGTGGACCAGGCAGCGGACGGGACTCGAACCCGCACCCTTCGCTATCCGGGCGAATGCACTGACCATTATGCTACCACGGCCCTATTCGCCGCGTCGAAATTTTCCTAGCCTTAAGCTGCAAGGCAGCGCCATCTCTTCTCATTGTAGGTAATTAAATAGTAGTAACAGCCCAATGAAAGTTTTTCCAACGCACAGTGGGTTAGGTTAGGTCAATGTTGTGTCCTAAACTTAGCGCGAGTCAAGCGATGCGGCACATTATAAAATGAATAAAATATTATATCCTTGACGTTTTAGTCATTCTATACATTGCCTAGGTAATTTCGGTATTGTAACATATACAACATATACCATAATTCCGGCAATTATATGTTGCCATTGGTCACAGCAAATAAAACAAAATCTCATAAATAGATTTGCACGCGGTAAAAAAAAGTTATTTTAAATTTATTATAAATATTTATACAATGTCATGATACATCATTCATAAACAGATTAGATAGTTGTGGCAAGACATCTGCTACAAAACTTAAAGTAGTTTTATAATTTAATCTGTATTTATATAGCTACACAAATACAATTTCTTTATAATTATTTTAAATACTCTCGCAAAAAAGTACGCACTTAAATAAACAAACGTACGGACACACGAACCAAGTTAGTATCAACCACAGCCAAAAACGGCAGCCATTCTGCCTTCTTCTTTTAACATCTTATACCCTATATATGTGATATGTAAATAAATAAAATTCAATATATTGTCCCCGAAAAGTGCTGGGTTCGAGTCCTGGTAGAACCATTTATTTGTATGAAAATCCTACTATCAAATACAACAGGGGCAAATGTTTTTATGATAATTTCTACAACAGAATTACTTCTATATATATATATATATATTTCTCTACGTAACCCTGGTATTTATCGAAATAGTAGGGGAGCCCAAGCAGAGATTTTCAGATATTTATGAGTGCGGCAGAATAATATAACCCATAAGTTATGAAGCTCCTTTTCAAAAGACTGACCAAAAGTCATGGCCGATTGTTGAAATAATTTTATGCTGCCATAGACGTTCGGCCCTATATAAAGGCCTCAGCTACTACAGCTAAGCAAACCTACATTGCGCATGGTAACAGATGCTATTTCCAGACATGCCCATTTTAACAGACATCTTTTTAACTTAGGTGTCACGGGCAGCCCATTTGCAGAGGATGCATGGAGGCAGAAGAAATAGCTACTCACGTTCTGCTGGAATGCAACGGAGTGGCCGAATACCGGGCGAAACACCTCAGCTCACCGGGAAATCTCCAAGAGGCAGTCACCAGGCCCTGGGGGCTTTCCTGACGGAGCGGGGCTGGCTGAAGTGATTCCGGCTATACACCCTCCTCACGCAAAACAGGCGCCATAAGGACGTCGGGTTGCGGAAACACCCGTAGCAAGAAGAAGAAGGCCTCGGCTATGCTGGGAGTACTTTACAAGGTGCAAGACTGCGGCGCTCCAGTAAATCTCAAGATCCCCGCTTGGGCTTCCCTATTACATAGCACAATCACAGACATGACAGCACAATCCTTACGGTGCTTTCCTAAAAATATTTATCTAATTTTATAGGCTACTTATCCAGAATAAGAAATTTATAATGCGATTCAAATAAGAATAGGAAAGCCAATGACCTCTATCTGTCAAATGATGCTTGAAAAGTACGGTTTGCAAAAAAAAATTTGGAACCCTTTTTTAGAACTCCGCTAATTCAAGAATAAAAACCAAACATTTGTAAACAAACAATAACAAATATTGATAATTAATATCGGTCAATTTTTTTTTCACCTATTGAGCTTTGGCCAGGAATGGTTGATAACCTAAATCGTCAACCAAATGTCACTTTAAGTTGCGTTCAGAAATTCGATTTCAAACTTTCGTTTACACAAAGGATGCATGTTCGTATGTGACCTAGTAATAGTGCATGATTATTCATAACTACTCCGGCGGTAATGCAGAGATGAGCGGAATAGAAGAGCTAGATTCTGATTAATGTTTTTTCTCATAGTCTTAATATTATTAAAAATCGGTGATTTTTGTTTTTTCAATCTTAGAAAATAAACGTTATTAAAAAAATCTGATGCTTTTTCTCACTTAATCTTAGTAAATAAGTTTTATTAAATAAAAACTTTTTTTTGCTCACTCTATCTATTTGGTTTCAATTGACAGCTATTACATTATCACAATATGGCGCCCAGTCGGTCCTATTCTTGGTTGAATCGCATTATAGTTTATCTTTGAATAATCAATTGTTCTATGCATGTCATTCAACGTTATCTTCGATATTTGGAAAACAAGGTTTTCCACATTTCTAATGCAGGCTTTTTTGGTCGTGGGCCTACATTTAAACTTTGGTCGATGTGTAACATCCGCATGCTGCCATCTTTGTCTGCCACTGGTGGCCATTTCACTGGCAACAGTTCGCTTAACGACGGTGTTGGGTTCCTGAAATGAAAATATTTTTTTTTACTACTGGGTAAATCTGTTTACTAACAAAAAACCTAGTATGTATATGCCTTTTTATCAACAAAATGAAAGGACCTTTTTCAGACAACAAACATAACTTTTTAATTTATATATTTATTAATGGTCCGTTTTTTAATTTTAACATTGATAAAAAGACGCAAAAATGTAATTATGGCTGACGTAAAAACATTCTTAGGTTTTATCATTTTATCGATACCTATTTACGTAGATTCTATCATTGTGATTTAGTAATCGAAGTTTTTAATACATAATGTATTAAATTAATGGCTTATATTGGGCATTGGTGAACTCATTTGAGGTCACCTTCACAATGGTAAGTAGAGTTCCGGAAGACATTAAATGCTATCATTTCAGTTGCATAGCGATCATGATTATATATAGAGTTATATCATGGTCGGAGCTCAGAGGGTCTCTTGATGATAATATAGTAATAAATATTTATTCACAAAAAATACAATATGGTTTTAGGAATAAACGACAAGATACTTTAAAGCTAATAGAAAGACCCTAACGTAGTTTTAGGTAGTGAATGGTCATAGGCAGACCCTATAGTAGTTTTAAGATAGTGAATCGTCATAATTATGGCGTTATAGTGGTGATAGTAAATAGAAAAACAATAGAAAAGGCTAAACACATTTGAAACAAACATTGAACACACCATAGTGAAAGTTCTGATTTGTTATTTTTAATTCAAATACAAAAAAAATATTTGTGAAGCCATGCCTACTGGAAGAACTGACGGCCGATGGGGCCGTAAAGTTCTTGAGTTGAGACCGCGACTCGGTAAACGTAGTGTGGGACGCCCTGAGACAAGATGGGATGATGACATTCGTAGGCTGGCTGGAGTGGGCTGGATATGAGTGGCAGAAAATCGGGAGCAGTAGCGTGCATTAGGGGAGACCTATGTCCAGCAGTGGACGAGCATGGGTCGATGATGATGATGATGATGATGATGCCTTCTGGGGGCCGTCCAAGCATCCGTGTGAAAATCGTACGTTCAGGCAGTAAGTTATTACGATGAAAGATGATGATACTGTGCATTAATGATAATAAAGTAAACCAAAGATAATTCTCACCCGTATTTAGCGAAGTTAGTCCACATCGTCGTCATTTTGTTGATCATTTCGTCTTCAAAGAGCGTAGGAATAAGTTGTTGCGAGAAAATGTAAAACAGGTCGTCAGCGTGTGTGGCTCCAGTTACATTCTGTAAAGTTGTTTTATGTAACATATACTTTGGGATGTTCCTCCTGCCGTCATAGTTGAACAAGTAGCTGTATACAGGCTGGTCGCTGTTCTGAACTATCAGATCAGTTTCTTCGTATATAGGATACTCCATGAAAATATCGCCAAGATATGTCGAATAATTATAGAGATTCTGAGACGACACATCTCTTTCATCCATGTATAATTTATGCATTGCTTTGGCCACTTCGCTACGCTCTTCATTAGTTGGAAAAGCCAGATTCTTAGGTAGGGACATGTTGAAATCAATTTTTGTTATGAAATGATCTTCTTCGATATTTGCAAAGAACAAACCTTCCTCTGAGTTCACACCGATTATCATGGGTACTTTGTTAAAATTACCTCTGGTTAGGATCTCGTATGGTGTTTCATTGAGAAATGGTTCTACACCATCAATTTCTTTTTCTACACAAGGTATAAATAAAAGCTGTGATATGATTGTATTCCCTTCATCTCTAGGTACTATTTTTATCACAAGATCCTTGTCAGATTGTTCGAATAAGAAATCGTAAAGTTCACGCGGATCTGTCGACTTTAAACCTAGTAATTCGGCTTTTTGACTTGCAGCGTGTATCGGGTCGTATTGCAGAGCCCAGCTTGTGAGAGAAGATCCACTTTGGGTAATAGCCTTATGGAATAGTCCTCTAGACATAGGAGAAACGACATGATACGAAACAGAAACAGCACCGGCGCTTTCACCGAATATGGTAACATTGTCCGGGTCCCCACCGAATGACTTAATGTTTTTTTGGACCCATTTTAAACCTGCTACCTGATCTTTGAGTCCTGCGTTACCGGGGGCTTCTTTAATACCCAAGCAGAGAAAACCTTGAACGTTCAGTCTGTAGTTCATTGTGACTAGAATAACACCTTTACTTATCAAGTAGTTGGGGCCGTAAAGGCTCAGAGAAGATGAGCCCGCAAAATATCCTCCTCCATGGAAATAAACCATGACTGGTAGAAGTTTAGTCGATGAAGTGTCGATAGGGGTATAGACGTTCAGTCGCAAGCAGTCCGCCCGTCCCATAGTGAAGTGCGAGCCGATATATAGTCCTTGTATACATCTTACATTTTCATCGACAGCATCAAAAACTCCTTTCCACGACACTTCAGGACCGGGGGACTGAAACAACGGAATTTTCATAATTAAGTTTATATTCAAATATTTTTCTCTTCCCATTTTATTGGAATGTCAATTCCATAAGGTTTTTCTTGCAGTACAGTGATAATGATGGTCAATGGGAAAAATATTTTGGGGTTGGGAAAATAAATTTTATTAACTTCATAAAGATTGGAGTTACTGATGATGTATGCGGAACATAAAAACTATTCTCTATTAAATGTGTGAAAAATGTTTATAAAAAATGATGTCTTAATAAATAAAGGCAATATTAACTAGAAAGTTATCTTATTGGTGACAAATACAAATAGGTTCAGAAAGAAATCATATGAATAAATTGGAATAAAAAAAACTGCTATTTTTAAAGTTTTATTAAGTATAAGTTTACAATATCATATGCTTGATATTTTTCTTCGATATTTGGAATATATTGATTTCAACAAAGCTACGGATGCCTTCTTTGGTTGCGGGATGATATTCAGACTTTCGTGTATATGCAGGATTTTTCGGTTGTCTTCCTCTTTGGTCATAGGAGGCCATTTAAAAGGTAGCAGTTCACTTTGTGTCGGTGTAGGGTCCCTGAAATATTACGTTTAATTATACTTAAGCAACATGCTGTGTTAAACTAACAAATTGATTTATAACTCATCAGACAGAGTCCATATAATGTGTTGAGTAATTTTCGTGAAATATAATAGCAATACGTTATATGCATATACTATTCCAACTTAAATCAAAAAGACCTAACCAGTATCATCATCATCATCATCAGCCTATTAACGTCCCCACTGCTGGGGCACAGGCCTTCCCTATGGATGGAAAAGGGGAGATTGGGCCATGACCCACCACGCGGGCCCAGTGCGGATTGGTGGGTGCTAACGACTGCAAATGCAGCCGGGACCAACGGCTTAACGTGCCTTCTGAAGCACGGAGGAGCTCGAGATAGTAAATTTTTGGTCACCCATCCAATGACCGACCACTGCGAAAGTTGCTTAACTTCAACGATCGCAGCCGAACGCGCTAGCCACCTGCGCCATCGAGCTCCTCCACCAGTATAGCATTCATATAGGTTTTATCACAAAAGGATTCTGTTGACTGTTGCACATACTAAAACTCTGCTACTGCTAGTATAAAACGTGATCCTTACCCATACTTGGCAAAATTAGTCCACATTGTCGTGATTTTGTCTATCATGTCGTTTTCGAACAGCGACGGTAATAGTTCTTGAGAGAACAGGTAGAACAGCTCATCAGCGTGAGTGGCTCCTGTGACATTCTGGAATTCTTTTCTAGGATTCATATGTTTTGGGACATTTCTCCAGCCGCTATAGTCGAATAAATAACTATAAATCGGTTTATCACTGTTGCGGATTATAACATCAGTTTCTTCAGTTACTGGGTACTCCATAAATGTATCTCCAATGAATCTTGATAAATTGTAAAGAGTTTGTAACGACACATTCTCATTTCCAAAGAAAGCTTTGTGAACCTCTTTGGCTACTTCCCTTCGTTCGCTTATAGATGCGAAGGCTAAGTTTTTCGGTAAAGAGACGTCAATATCAGTTCGTGGTATGAGTCGATCCTCTTCTGCATTTACAAAAAACAACCCCTCTTCTGAGTTCAGGCCAATAATCATAGGAACTTGAGTGAAATTTCCTCTGAAGAATGATTCGTAAGGTGTTTCAGTCAAGAATGGCTCAACGTCATCAATTTTTCTCTCGACACAAGGTAAAAATATTAGCTCTGAAATGAGTATATTGCCTTCTTCTCTTGGTACTGATGTTGTAATAAGGTCGGCATCGGATTGTGTATACAAGAAGTTATAAAGTTCACGTGGATCTGTCGATTCTAATCCTAGCTGCTTTGCTTTACGACTGGCAACTTCAACTGAATCATACTGTAAGGAGAAGCCTCCAAAAGAAGATCCACTCTGCATAATAGCCTTATGGAATAGTCCCTTGGACATCGGAGACATGACATGAAATGACACCGCAACGGAACCCGCGCTTTCACCAAAAATAGTGATGTTATCAACATCACCGCCGAATGCTTTAATATTTTTTCGGATCCATTTCAAAGCTGCCACCTGATCTTTGAGTCCTGCGTTCCCTGGAGCTTCTTTGATTCCCAAACAAAGAAAACCCTGAACATTCAGTCTGTAGTTCGCAGTGACTAGAATAACTCCTTTGGTTACCAAGTAATTGGGACCATACAAAGCCTTCGAAGATGACCCCGTGAAAAACCCACCTCCGTGGAAAAAGACCATAACTGGCAACGAGTCATCAGGCAAAGTGTTTAGAGGGGTATAGATATTGAGGTGTAAACAATCTTTCAACCCTACTGTGAAGTGTCCACCGTCAAATAATGCTTGTTCGCACCTTGCATTCTCATCGACAGCCTCGAAAACTCCTTCAAAGTGCAGTTCAGGACCGGGCGCCTGGAACCAACAATGAATATGACATATATAAAAAGGCTTCGTTGAGAGAATCATCACGATTTTATAATGCTTTTAACAAACAACTGTAAAACAAACACTTACAAACAACTAACAAATTTAATACATAACAATAAACTTAATAGTATAATTCACTTCATATGAAATTTTATAGTAATTGACAAAATAGGTTAAAATAATCATATATTTCTTCGATATTTCGAGTAAATGTCTTCCCAGGTCAGAAGCGATGGACCGTGCCACAGAGGTACTAATCTAAGTTTTCGGTTTATTAGAAGAGTATGTTGGTCTTCAGTAGTTATAACTGGCCATTTTATGGACAGTTGCTCACTTTTCACTAGCGTAGGATTTCTGGAATTAGAAAACAATACAATATATGAGTTTGTTTAGACTAGCTAAACCAAATAATATTTTTGATACAAGCATAATACAAGCGTGTTACATATAATGAGTGCTTCGTTATTATTCGCGTGGATAAGATACGACTTAGTCTGTTCATTATTATTGATCTATGACCTCATTAATCGAATTGTAATGCCGGCGGTTGTAATTAAAACTTGAACTGAAAGTTAGTGTTACAGTAAAAGATAAGAGCAGTTTTACATCAATTTTGTGATGATATATTCTTGCAATGAGTAAGGTTATTGCTACTTCAGTGTTGAATGCGTCCAAAGATATTAAACTACAACGGTCAGTGTGTCTAAAACGTCAGGTCTCACAATAATCTTTGTTTAGCATAGATATCTTATTAAGGAATAAGAACTTATATATTTACCCAAACTTTGCGAAATTGTTCAGTAGTAGACGATTTTGATTTTATATAAAGATACTGTGTTATTATGAATAAAAAAAAAGACTAACATGTTTTCTGCACAACGATGTTGCATATTAAGAGTTCATTCATTGTTTTGCCTGGTCTTAGCAGACTTTATGTTGCATTGTCTTAGCAACTTACGCACTAATTAGAAAGTAACAACAAGTTATACAGGGAATGCAAAATAATTGTTTTACTTAAATTTTTGTTCTTATTTTTAGGTAGATATTATAACAAGAATTTATACAAGAAAATAATTATTTTTGAGGATGAAATTCGTTCATGTGTAACTGGTAAAAAGTCAGCGGAGAGAGATTACATCGTTTATGAAAATACTGCCTATCCATTCATAATCAAATTCCTAAAAAACACGAATTTAGTAGGATTTCACTCACTAGAAGTGAGTGACTCTTTTGTTTAAGTACTGTGTGGAGGAAATTGCACAGGTATTGACTCGTATTGTGAATACATGTGAATGAGAAAGTATATTAAATAATGAAGATAGGATATTTTACTGCAAGAAGACATTTTTTTTTAGTAATAACTTGAACTGCATTCCCAGATTTTTTTTTTAAAATCCCCTGCTACAAATGGGAATCAAGCTCGCGAATTTAAAATTAAACACGAATTATTTTATTATAACCATCACAAGGATTATTTTTTCCTAAATAACATAGCATTTTAAATGAAAGAAGATCATGAAATTAAAATTTTGTTCAGGCAAATTTCTTCTTACTTTTCCGTGCTCCCAACAGCTGTACCTGCTCACTTAATAATACAAGGTTTCCCATTTTTATAATAAGGTTTTTATATTGATTATAATAATTCTATCACGTACTTATAGTAGTAGTTCTTGACATGAAATTGGGGCTAATGTAAGATTTGCGTTGCATTATTGTAGTGTTTTTGTTGTTAGTTACAAAATGGCTCTCCGCGAAAGCTTGAAAAGATGAGTTCTTATAGAAGAGAGTTTATAAATAACGAACAAGTTTCTGCATTTCTCTAAATGCTATGTTACTTAGGAAAAAAAATGGATGCGTGTAACTTATGTACGCGCGTGAGAAGTTATACTTAGTTAGCACCATTAAAAATATTTTTAATTGCATGCAAATAATTAATAATTACAATAAAATAATAATAGGACTGGAAAACGATAGTTAACACAGTCAATTAAGTTCAGTTTTAATTTGAAAAATTAAATAAATATTCAAAATATTCAATTAAAATCACTACTGAATTTAGTTATTAGTCCATATGTAATTAGCACTTGTAAGTAACTAAAACACGTTGTGTCTATATAGAAATAAGAAACATGTGGATAAATATTATAAATATGAAAACAGTGATCAGAGGCGACGAGCGTGCCAACATTGTTTTTGACAACGCGATCATCTTATGGAGCTCCGTGGATCGTTCAAAGTACCTTTCGAACAGATGTCTAATAATGGTGGATTATTAACCACTAAGTGGTTAATAATCCACCATTATTAGACACTAACATTCATAACGCGCCCGCGGCCAACTTCATGGTGTTACTATTGTGTTACAGTGATGCGCGCGCATCTCGAAATTTCACACACATGATTTTTTCATAACGCGCCCGCGGCCATCTTCATGCTGTTACTTTTGGGTTACAGTGATGCGCGCGCATCTAAAAATTTCACTCTCATCATTTTTTCATAACGCGCCTAAAGAAGTATAACTTCAATAATCCTTATGATTACCCTTTTCGATGGTTGTAATAAAATAAGTCGGGTTTTTTTTTAAATTCACGAGCTTGATTCCCATTTGTAGCAGGCGATTTTTAAAAAATCTGTGAAGGCAGTTGGAGTTCCTACTAAAAAAATGATGTCTTCTTGCAGTAAAATATCCTATCTTCATTATTTAATATACTTTCTCTTCGTGTGACAAACCCGTGGGACGGCCTGTATTCACAATACTAGTCAACACTTGTGCAATTTCCTCCAATTACTTAAAAAAAAGAGTCACTCACTTCTAGTGAGTGAAATCCTACTAAATTCGTGTTTTTTAGGAATTTGATTATGAATGGATAGGCAGTATTTTCATAAACGATGTAATCTCTCTCCGCTGACTTTTTACCAGTTACACATGAACGAATTTCATCCTCAAAAATAATTATTTTCTTGTATAAATTCTTGTTATGTAATATATTTTATATAATATATATTTACTATATAATATATGTTTTGCGTTCAAAAAAATATGAGATATACTTACCACCCACAAGAAAAATAAAAATCTGAGACCAAGCCGACATAGGGAAATATGTCGGTTTGGTGAAATAGGGCACAGGTTCTACTAAATCGTAACAGGTGGCGTGTTTCGAAGGAGGCCTGCACCCATAGGATTGAGACAGGCTGAAAGAGCTGAAAGCTTGAAAAGGTGTATTCTTATACAAGATAATTTATAAAGAACGAATAAACTTCTCCTTAAATACAACTGATTTTGAGTTCAAAAAAAGATTAGCTATACCACCACCAAAAAAATTAGATGCCAAGCCGACATATGAAATAGGGCACAGGTCGCGCAAAATCGTAACAGATGGCGTGATTTAAAGTAGACCTGCATCCAGAGGGTTGAAAAGGCTGAAAGAGAGAGCGAGAGAAGTACGAATAAACAAGACACAACAGTGGCTCTATGTCTTGTCCGCATGCAATACTCGTCTTTTCTATCCAATTGAAACGCCCATCTTTCGATAAGTTCCTTCTTATGTAAGACTACAGCGTTGTGTTCAAGTAGTCAGTTAGTTTCTCCAAGGATTGCTGGAACAGATTCCAGTCTGGCAAGATTATGTATGAATTGTATATAAAGGTCGATAAGACAAAAATTTTTACTGCTTCAGTCATCTTCATATTTTCAGCCTGAACTACTACTTTCAGCAAGAACATTGTATTACAGAATAATGCCTAACCTTATTTTTGTTTCTTTAGAACAATTAAATTTATTTTACATAAATTACACAGGTACTCTTTAACCTTTTAATATTGATAATCCCGACTAAAATGCTGTTCTTGATTAAATTAGCCCTTTAGTATAGTTAGTTACCATTACTTAGTATTTCGGTTGGTAAAAAGCTCTGTATTTCGACTAAAATCTTCTTGTACGAAGTAGCTCTTTAAATGTCATTATAAAATAAAATAACAGTTTTTCTTTTTTCATTATGGTTAACATTAATGTCGATTCTGGCATGATTCTGCAAACCTAAAATTAAATTAAACAACAAACTATGTTAAATATAATTTTAAGTGAATCATTTCAAAATTGACACCATTATACGCCAAACTATTGCACCTAAAAGGTATTGTTTTGAAAAAGGTGTTGAGTTTTGTACCTAGTGAGCTACTGCTTCTATAGGATACGCTTTGCAAACTAAATCTTTTGTATCATCATTATAGAGCAACATAGACAACTCGGTATTTTATTTTATTTTATTTTTATTTTTACAGTTTTTGGGAAACTTACAGCTAGTTTCTCTTACTTGCTATTCTGCATAATATTTATGTTTATGGCCAATTGATAGTTTCCGCGGATAGTTAAAGTAATAATTAAAAAAAAAGTCGGCATGAAGCGCACATGATGCTTAAATGCATTATTAAGTAGGTATGTGTACTATATATACTTATAAGCAATTAAAAAAGCAGAAAGATAAAAAATACATAGTTTAAGTACTTGGCTCAAAGAAAAGTTTTTTTTTTTTAAATGAATTCAAGCTGTCACAAAGCAAATCAACATCTAACTGGCCTGATGAGTACTGGTTAAAAGTGTGAGGAGCTCTAACTGTGAAAGAATTTTGACGATAATTAGTTGAGACTAACGGCACATAAAGAGTTTTAGTGTGTCTAGTGGTTTTGTCAGGGGTCCTAATAAATATTTTGCTTAATAATCCAGGGCAATCGATGCTGCTATTAACGTTCTTCAATAAAAGGGAGATGTCCGCCATTTCTCTGCGTTTCTGAAGTGGTAAAGTATGATATGCTTTACATCTACTGTAGTGACCATGGTGAAATTTCCTACATTTAAATTGAATATGACGTAGAAACCGTTTTTGTATAGCTTCGATCCTCGAAATGTAAGTCTGGTACTGAGGGTTCCATACTTGCGAGGCATATTCGAAGTGGCGATGGGTGGGTGGTGGAGTATCGTAATTCTCCAGTCTTTCTGAGTTTGTTACCTGAAACCTATGCGGTACTGTAGCATAGGGTACGCCCAGGTACTGCACGTGCGTCCCAGCGGGTGCGACGGTCCCCCGCAGCCAGCCGTTGCTGACTAGCACCGGCGGCGTCGGCTGCCGCACCAGCCTCGCTGCCCAGAGCGACCAAAGCACCAACCACTTCCACGACGTCCTCACTTTGGACTTCATCACCAATACCCAATCCACACTTATTCAATAACGATTTTTTTACGTGTTCGAATGCATTCAGATATAATTTTGAATTGAAATATGAGTAAACAACACGTTGATTGTGACAGTAATGAAATGGTTTAAGAATGAGCGATAACACTGCAGTGGCGGGGAGCCGTGTCTGCTATCACGCTATCTGGGGTCTCTGTTTGAGATAAAGAGTAGTGTCACAGTCGAAAGGCGTACCTAATTCATTTTATTGTATTAAAGTGACAATTTTTAAACTATTGCATAGTTTTTATCGCGGGCTTTGCGCGGCGACCGAATTCACAAATTCCGTGACGAAAATAACCTGACAACAGTGCATATGAACACAATTTTCGCTTTTCCAGTGTCGATTGAAACGGTGCAGTGTGTTAAATTTTTGTCACGGGACCAACGTTCGAGGCGTCATCGTCACCGCGGTCGTCGGTTCGAATCCCGCACTCGTATTTTTTATTATATTTTTTTTTCTTATTTTTATATATTTGTTTTAGACCCCAGCTCCTGTTCTTATTTTTATTTGTCTCCCTTTTATTTAGACTATAAATTATAATTAAATTTTTTGGACTAAAGATGGTAAACTGTGGAGCTTGTGGAAGATTTTTGGCGCCGGGCAATGCTGTTGTTTGCTGTGCTTGCCCAATAAAATATCATAAGGCCTGCCTCGCCATCTATTAATATCAAAGAAAAAAAATACTGCATAAATAAAATAAATAAATAAATATAATTTCATAAGTTGCTAAATAATGCTATGCAATAGCTTTCCCGCGGCAGTTCCCGAGTGCCACACGTATTTTTTTTATTATAAAATATACTGTATGTTTATAAGTACTTGGTCTATAGTAATTATATATAAAATTTACTGATAGCTTTAATGTCAATTTATTTATGACTTATTTGTTAGCCCTGCCCTTCCGCGGTCCTCTCATGAAGGGCAGAGTGTAGAGGGCTACCGTCACGGAATCTATCGGTGACCGGCATAGCTAACGCTCTCCTCACGGTTCCCAACTTAGGGGTTTTGCCCCCGATTTAGGGGCTAGAAGTGTTAAAACGGACTTTTTTAGGGGCTGGAATTTTTTGGGGGTTCTTTTAGGAGCATTTATCAAAAATTGCAATGTTATCGAAAAACAAAGGTGTGTTTTCTTTTCTTTCAATTTTGTGCGTAGAATGGAACGCACTGGATATGAAACGACTGAACTGACTGTGTGGCGGGTTGTTTCCTAAGGCTGCATGGACTAAAGTTTAAAAAAACCGCTTAAAAAGATTTAACAGCCTGTCAGCTCATTTTCGTTTGATTGTCCTTTCGGAAACTGTATTTATTCAATAAAATAAGTTACTGTAACTAAATATGCAACGTTTTAATTTATGAGCAACGAAAGAATTTGGGTAATAAGTAGGTAAGTACTTAAAAAAATCTATATTTAGAGGATTTTTGGGGAATTTAAAAAATACCTAGGGGAAAATTTTAGTAAGGGTAGGTAACACTGGCTCTCTTGTGCAGCGAGGGATTTCCTCAGGTAGGGGGGATACTGGACGGGCGCGGCCAGGGCGCGCCTTTACCTCCCTCTACCTGTCCTTCTGCGGGAGGGAGCAGCCAAGGGATTATCCTCTTGCTCCTTCTCGGCCAATTCCTTCTGCGAGATGACAGGAGCGTATTGACCCTAAAGCCAAAGGGGCTAAGGTCGGCGGGGTGCAAATCATAAATGACATGGGGCGCCAGATTTTAAAATACACCCCTGTGCTGCGTAATGTTTGGCTGTTCGTCGATTAGTTGCTAAGTTCTAAGTCTTTAGACTAAAATACACGTCCATAATGAATGCTTTTTTACCGATAGCTGTTATTGTCTGAAACATATTTTTTATTATTTGTAATGTATGTAACCTACATGTAAGTACGTAGTATTAATTAAGTCTTGAGGCAATCGCCTGAATTTCTGAAACCGGATAAAAAGCTTGGATGACATTGACCTTTTTGCCCGGAAACCATTTAAACAATTTTATAGTTTTAAATAATAAAACCGGTCTTTACATTTTCATTTTATATTTAGTAGGTATAAACTTATTTAGCTGTGCACATGTTTAAATTTCCTCCAAGCAGACCCCTCTTTCCCACTGGGCACTTTGGGCCAGTGCCCAGGGCCCTGCGATCGATAGGGGCCCCCTCAGATCAAATACAAAGTCCCTAGTTCCTGTTAAATCACCAAACGGGGTCATAGGGGCCCCATTATTCTTATATGCCCAGGGCCCCCAATAGGTCAAAGACGGCACTGCTTCCAAGAGAAAGGGCATCAGATAGACTCAAAACCTATAGGTTTAATAAATATTAATTTATTTAAGGGGGTTTCTATAGAACAGATGTAATTTTTGAAGTTCTTTGCTCGATATTATAATATAGTGTCTAATGTTGTATAGACCCTTCGTGTGCGAATCCGATTTGCACTTAACTGTACCCTTAGTACGAGTTTGAGCTCACGAAAACTATCATAGTTTTCGTAATTGTAAATTATGTTTCTATGTCCATTTTGGTGAAAAGTAACCAAATATACTTAAATTTTAAGAAAACGCAAATGATTTAATGATACAATTTAAACACTGTTTATTTGTATTGAAACGAAAACAAAAATCAGTAGGTACCTACCCTTAGTACGAGTGCGAGCTCACGAAAACTATCATAGTTTTCGTAATTGTAAAACTCGTACTAAGGGTACTGGATTTTTCAAATCTTTAGTCTCCCATGTTAACAAAATACCTAACTACTTTATCGACAGATTTGCAACTTAAGTGATGTCATTTTATGGCAGGCGCTTCTATACGAAGTGGTCAAGTTGTACTCGGACCTATGAAGTAGACAGATTTATTATTAGCCTTGTAAAGAACGAACATAAACATGACCTTGTCTACTACAAAGATAAGGCAACAACACAATCTCAGACGTGATATGGTGATGACGACACCAGATATGATTCCACCAATGTAGTTTAAGGATTCACATCACACAGTAGGTACTTCTTGACACCACTATTGTCGATCACTTTAACCGTTTTATCGATATAAAGTTTATCGAAGCATTAAAAACACGCGTGTACATTCAACCATGCCGTGTTACAAACTGATTCATTCATGGGCACCAAATTGATGGTTATCTTAACACGTAATAAATTATGTTACACGCAGCTAGTAACATAATAATAAAGTAACTAAAATACATTGGTACTGTGTGTTTTACTTACCTGACCTTGACTAGATGGCAGCTTTGGACAATTATGTCGTTATATTTTTTAATATGCTCTGAGATACCGCGATTTATGACGAATCATCATGATGTCACCAGTTTTTATTGTGCCTACATTCGGACATTTTAACTTTTTATGATAGGTAGACCATCCTGGTCCAATCAACAGGACTATCCCAACTGTTCTACGGTAAGTGAATGGACAATGTGGACATACCGAGAACAACCTTTTTCTTAATTCGCGCAGGGATTTGAAACTTTTGGGATTATTTCACATTTGTACAAGGCCACTCAGAAAGTTTTGCGAAAAAAAGTTTTTATGTATAAGACACAGGCTGGCCACTTGTAATTATTTTGAAAACTTCAATTATTTAAAACTATAAATACCATTGTTCGATTTTTAAATTTCCCTCCGCATTTTTTCGAGAGCAAATTAATTTTTTCTTGTCTAATTAAAAAATGGATCTGCATCGAGAACGCCTACGAGAGTGACGCGATCGAGGAGCGCAGGGAAAATTTTGTTTGCTAGTTTTTTCACTTTGACGGGGTACCTAATTTCAATTCCACTTCGAGACCAAAGCAGCATTAACGCCGAATGGTATAGCAAAAAATAGTTGCCAGATTTTTTTTCTGCAATGAGCAACAAGCGACTTAATGCCGGGCTCCGCGGGGCCCTTCTTCACCATGACAGCGCGCGCGCACCTGCGATCAAAACGAAGGACTTCCTGGATACCACTCCAGTCAGAGTCTTGAGACACCCTCTGTACAAGCCATTTTAATTATGATTTTATTTATTTTTTAAGCATTTAACTGCTAGATGTTTAAATCTAAAGAAAAGTTTACTAGAAAAAAATCCACGCGGACCAGGCAGCGGACGGGACTCGAACCCGCACCCTTCGCAATCCGGGCGAATGCACTGACCATCATGCTACCACGGCCCTCTTAGCCGCGTCGAAATTTTTCCTAGCCTTAGGCTGCAAGGCAGCGCCATCTCTTCGCATTGTAGGCAACCCACAATGTCAAATGAATACTTTTTCAAGTATTAAACATTTGAAAGAAGAAATAGCAATTATAGTTATGATTTTATTTATTTTTTAAGCATTTAACTGCTAGATGTTTAAATCTAAAGAAAAGTTTACTAGAAAAAAATCCACGCGGACCAGGCAGCGGACGGGACTCGAACCCGCATCCTTCGCAATCCGGGCGAATGCACTGACCATTATGCTACCACGGCCCTCTTAGCCGCGTCGAAATTTTCCTAGCCTCAGGCTGCAAGGCAAGCCATTTTAATTATACTTTATTAAGTTTGCATTCCGAATCGATGCACTCTAAACTGCTGACACAGTTGACCCACTAATTGGTTTAAGAACAATATTTTACATTATATGACAGTAAAAAAAAGGATGCAATAAAGGCATTCACATCATATTGACGTATTTTAATAATTAACTCCTGACAATCGTCCCGTGACTAATTGACATATTGACAGTCGTTAGGGTCCTAGTAACGGCCCCTACACCCTCCTTACAGTCCTGATTTGGCTGCGTGTGACTTTTTTTTTATTCCCTAAAATAAAAAATCAGCTCAAAGGGATACAGTTTTCATCGCCGGCAGAAGCGCTAGCAGCGTTTGAGAAGGCCATGGAAGAGGTGTCTGCGGGGGACTGGAAAAAATATTTTGAAAAATGTTATAGACGCATGGAACTTTGTATAGAGGCTGGTGGAGAGTTCTTTGAAAAGTTTAAT